CTTGGGAGTACAGGTTTCCTTAGTATGGGTTTCCTTTTGAATTGTTTTGTATTCTTTGGGTAGAGATCCTAGTGAGTCCCACCTGGGGCAAGTTGGGGTTAATTAGGCAGCTTTAAGGACAGTGTAGGCAGGGACTTTGGGGGAGTTGAAGAGATAAGGACACTAAATTCTAAGAGACACTATCCATTACACACTCCAGAGGTGCAGACAGAAAGTCCAGGAGTATTAAACAAAAACAGAATGAGGTTAGAGGAAAGGAAAAATATTAACCTTTTCTTTATACTTAAAAAAAAAAAAACTCGGGCCCTCCCTGGTGGCGCAGCGGGTTAAAGCACAGCACTGAGAATCTAAAGCTGCTTCCTCATGAGTTCGATTCCCGCCTGCCCCGGAGGTGACCACATGGCGAGCCAGACCTCTCCTGGCCCGCCCACTGCTCCCCTCAGCAGTGTACTGTCGATCTGCCTGCTCTGCTCCCCACTCTGTCTCTGGTGAAGCCTCTCGCCACCCCTGAGCCTCTGGCCTGTACCCCAGTTCTGTATGCACAAATAAATACATCTTTAAAAAAAAAAACAAAAAAAACTCTCGCTATTATTTGTTACAAAAGCATGGAAGCTAGTTGATTTTAAAAGCAAACATGGCTTTAATGAAGAAAATATTTAGAACAGTAAGGCGTGAAAAAATCATTAGGCAAAATATAAGTTACATGAATATGTAGTATATTCATGTATCTGCAGTGTGAGGTCTGGATGGGAATACACTATCATGAAATAATTGCTCAGTTAGTAACTAATTCTATAAATGTTTCTTGAACATCTACCAAGAAAGAGTTGGTAAGTTGACAACTGAAGCAAGATATGATGAGATGGACAGTGCTGTGGATGAGAGACAGGGAGAAATAGGTTAGTCTGAGAATGACTCACTGAGAAAGTAACATTTGAGAAAAGATTTGAAAGTGGGAAGGTAGTGAGTCATACACATATTTGAAAAAAGAACTCTATAAGCAAAGAGAACAGTCAAAGCAAAGGCCCTAATGTGGATTCAAGGAATAGCAATGAGGACAGTGTAGCTCAGAGAGTTAAGCCACTGGAAGCAAGTCAAAGAAATCAGGTCAATTAATTGTACTATTGTAGACTATTCTATACTTTAGTTAGTCTCCATATTCTATACTTTTGTTAGTGTAGTCTCCATAAAAAGAGTTAGGGCCCTCCCTGGTGACACAATAGATTAAAGCACAGCTGTAGGAAGTAATCAGCAGCCACTGAAGCACAGGGTTCAATCTCCGGCCAGGGAGCTGACCCACATGGCACAATAGACTTCTGTCTCACCCACTGCTCCCCTCAGCAGCGTATTTCAGGCAATGTCTTTTTTGCTCCCCACTCTGTCTCTGGTGAGTCTTCTCAATCCCTGCACCTCTGGCTTGTACCTCAGTTCTTGTATGCATAAACAAATCTTTAAACAAAAAAGGTGGCTAAATGTTTCCGGCCCCACCGAACAGAAGATAGAGCTGAGCAGCAAAAGGAAGTTCTCTCCAACAGAGAAGGCTTGGAGATTAACAGAACAGAACAGACATATGAAGAGGTTCCATGTGCATCTTGGCTTTGTTCTTGTACTGGGGACTTACTGGATGTGGAGATACATGGAGTTGCATAGAGACATCAAAGTTGATGACTTGAGACACGTACAGACCCTTGGAAGAGACAGGGCAAAAGACCTACTTTGGGAGGTTGACAATGGCAGCTGTTACCTTGATTTGTATTTTGATTTTCTCCAGTCTGACTTACTGGATACCTTCTGCCCCATTTCCTATGGTTGGTTCCCTATCAGGTGCTTTTAATTTGTGACAAGTGTTGATGGCTCCGCTTTGGAATGACCATGTTTGGTTGGGCATTTAACCACTAGGGGGTGGGTGACTTTGGGTTATTGGAAAACTACTATCCTTTCTTCTCTTTCACTATGCACACTAATTCTATTAAAATTTTTGCACATCGAGTATTCCTTATGTGGCAATGGCAGAACCCATTAGAACATACATGTTTAAGGGTCATGAGTACAACTTATTTTGCACTGGCTATTGATTCCAAGTGAAGTGGTAAACAATTGCAGATGCCAGGATCCCTCTGAATGCTGTGTGAAGACTAAACTATTGGGGTTGGGTCAGGAGAAAGTAGAGGTACCACATGGGGGAAAAGTGGCTCTGGGGATGTTGAAACACTGGATGCTTAGATGTAGTTTCATTGCAGGGTCAATGTTTTCCAGACAGACTGGGCTAAATATGTCAGAAAGGAGCACAAGAATGGCTTTTGGGGTTTTGGCCTGAGTGAATGGAGTTGTTATTAATTCAGATGAGAAAGATAGCTGGATGGACAGATTTGGGATAGGAGAAAGACTGAATTTATTTATAGATGTGTTTATGAATGTAGAAGCAACATAGTTTAAGAATATTTCTAATACTATGGCATCTTTCCAAATAAAAAAAGACTCCAGACTGCTTACTGAAAGTATGTAAGTGACTCTAGCAATCTGGAGAAACCAGATTGGATAGAAGACATGCCAGAAGACAGGAGCTGAGGTTCCAGTTTTCAAAACAGGGTGGGAACGAAGGATACAAATCTGTCCAAAGTTCTGGCAAAATTCTACATGTCAACAAGAAAGTGACATATAATAAGAATAGGACATATGAACTTCAAAAATTAGTAGCTCCTCTTGAATTCAGCTGAATTCAAGGGAAAGTCAGACCAATGTTTGCATTAGCAGAACCCTATCTTTCTTCCTGTGTGTCTCCTTTACTTCTCATACAGAATACTTCTAATTTGGGTTCCCCCCCCCCCTTTCTAAACAAGTCTCTGTAACACCAGCTAGCTGCCTACAATTTAACTCAACCCTTAAGCTACTAGAGATAACACCAGACCACACAAGTCAAGAGCTCAGATCCACAAGACTTCCTCAACTTTAGATGGTATCACAATTAGTAGGTCACCAGGTTATCAACAACTTGTGCCAGTCTTGGCTGTAAGTCAGAGGTTCCTATGACCTTACCTCTTGAATTCAATTATTTGCTATAAGGGCTCAGAAAACTTAGTGACACAATTATGTTACCAGTTTATCACAAGATAAAAGTATAGATGAACATCCAGCTGAAAACATACACAGGGCAAGGTGTGGGAGGGTTCCTAGCACTGAAAATTCCAAGCTTCTAAACATGACTTGGTCTTTCCAACAAGAAGTGGTCATCTAGGAGCCTACCCAGAGTCACTGCATTAGAACAAAAGACATTTCTATCACCTGTGAAATTACAAGGTTTTTCAGGAGCACTGTGTCAGGAATGGGGGTCACGGACCAAATTTAGAACAAATTATTTGGAAATCTCAAGGGCTCAATCTTTAGGAGTTCTGTGCCTAACAAGAAATATTTCTCATTATAAGTCACAATGCCAGACAACTTGGCCAAAGGGAGGTGGGGAACAGGCTGTAAATACTTCTATTATCCTGGCAAGTTTTAGAACAAGTTATTAAATGGATGACATCTGAACGCCAAAAATGAGCAGTAGTGCCTCTTGAATTCAGCTTGAAGACAAGAGCAAGTCAAATCAACATATTTAGAAAAATACAACTAGGAAAATTTTGGAATATTGAAGTCTAATGTTTAAAGGAGTGGAAATGCAATTGTAGAGGAGCTGGTCTCAGGTAGCATGCAACAGTATCTGACAGTATTTCATTGGTTGTTAGACATCACAACTGCAAGGTTCTAGTCAGCCTCTATAGTTTTCTAGCCATTCAGCCCCTATAAACCTTTGTGCCACTCAGTAACCTTGTAATATTGGTCCTGACCTGTGGGTATTGATATTTGTAATTTAATTTCCAAAGTGCATCTATACCAAACGGCTTTCCTAATGGTAGGGGATTCATTCGGTGTGAACGTCACCCTTCCCTTCTCTCTTCACATCCAATTCAGGAAGGTCCTGTAAAAGGGAGAAAAAGCTTTAAACAAAATAAAACAACTTTCAACTGGTACTACTCTGTACTATTACAGAACTCTCAGTACAGCAATAAAAAGCAGGCCTTGGTGTTTGCCTAATGTTTTCGCGCCGGGTAACAGGATCGGGAGTTGCCAGGATCTTTTTCGGAACCCAGGTCTTGGCCCGCCCCACGGTTGCTAGGCGACCTTTGGACCATATCGAAAGGGGCGGGCTGCTCAGCGCAGACACCACCGCCCACTTCCGTCATAAGCCCCCCCCACCAGGGAGTCCAGCCTCAACACTCGCGATAGCACAAGGCGTCGTGACGCAAACGCTCCCCCCTATCCTGCGCTGTTTGAAGTGAGGCGCGCTCCCGCGCTCGGTCGTGCTCTTCCCCGCCCCTTCTTGTACTGCAGTTACTTTCGCCCCTTGCTGGGTTCTCACCCAAATTCACTTTGCCCAAACAGCATTCTTCACGGGGACTGTAGAATAACTTTTAAGTCTTGCACTTGGCGACCGGTGGAGGGGCGTGGAACAGAATAATGAGGGCTGAAGGGGAAGTGGCAGTTACCACGGGCTCACTTCCGGAAGACGGCCGGAAGTGGCTCCAGTGGATGGTGGGAGGGGGAAAAGAGCGCGAGGGGGCGGGCAGGGCCGCTGGGGGTCGAGGGGGTGGGGCCTGGGCCGGCAGTGGGGACCCGGCCTGGGGCCTATACTCCTACCTGGGGTGGGCCGCGGCTCTCTGCCAAGACAGGGCGGGCGGGAACCAGGTAACAACCCAGCACAGATAGGGTGAGGGTCGTCCGGGTGGTAGAGGGGTGGGGGTTAGAGTCGAGGGAGGGTCCTGTTGTCACCCTTACCCGGTGAACGCCGGTCTATGGGTTCCTAGCAGAAGGATGGGAGGAGTTAAATTATTGGCCGAGATGGGGGGTGCAGAGGGGGGTGAAGGCGGAGGGGGGGGTATAAGAACGCCACGCCCCTACAGGAAGGGAAGTGTGTGTGTGTGTGTGTGTGTGTTTATAAGGGAAATGGGGTGTGCTCTCAATGTGGGTGGGCCCCCATTGAGAAACTGGAACTCGGTTCCAAGGGGCTGTTGCTGGCGGGACTGGGGCCTCTGATATTCCAGTAGAGTGCTTTCTGGAGTGGCCCTGGGAAGGAGTTTGACAGAGATTGGAAATTATGTCCCTGGCACAGTTTTAGAAGAAGCGGGGGAGGTCAGGGTGAAGGGAAAAGAGCAAAGAATGCATTTGGAAAGTGCCAGCACCCAAGTCTGGAATAGATTAAGTTAGGTCGGGAATAGACCTGGCCGATTAGAAAGAGCGCTGAATACCCTAAGAAGCTTTGGGAGATGTAGGACGATTATTGTGTAGCACTAACAAGAGGACAGTAGGATGTTCTTTTTCATCTTTCTTAGAAGACATTTCTTCATCCACAGTCATTGGTTGCTTTTTAGTTGTGAAAATAGATGTGATTCTTCCTTTACTCTGAGCCATATGTGTGCATACATATTGGTAAGATGGTACGGTTTTGGGGTGAAATATTGAGTGAAGTGTTATGAAGTGTTTAAAGAAGGAGTTTTGAAAGTATTGTAAAACAATTAGATCAGGAGTCTGGGGAATTAACCCATTTGGGTGTATAATAGGTTAGAGTGTGTCATAATGCTTAAATATTCTGCAGGTTAACAAATCAGCCTCCTGGGCCATGCCATTACTGAAGGCTGTTTCTTCTCATGAGCCCCAGAAGAAGACAGAATGGCCAGCCCTCAAAGTGGATGACTTCCCCTCCCTGAGCAAGAGATGGGCTAGTACCCAGGATCTGCCCATCACCAGACACTGGGTTTAATGAGCCAACTGAATGAAGGGATGTAACACACCCCTAGGAGGGACACTGAAACTGCAGTGGGGGGGGAGGGGACTGGACATCCCCCTTCCCCCCAGACTCCTCCCCCTCAGAGTCCACTCAAACATGGACTTTGGACCTGGATGAAAGGAAAGAAGCTGTACTCGGTGTACCTGGGATTCTCAGTTTTGGAAATAGAGTGCTGGATGGGGGTTTGATAACCGCCAGGGGAGCAACTGAGAGAAAAGAAAAAAGGTAAGGTTCTGTCTCATTTCCCACTTCCTTCCTTCCTGTAAGAGTACCTGATTCCCCCCACTAGCCTGAGGGTTGGGTGCAGGCCTGGGCAGAGTGACAGATCCTGAGCTGTTTTCTTCTCTGGACTGTATCTGTTAGAACCTTTGAGGCCAAGATTCTGTATACCTGAGAAATAGGGAATTTCAGGGCAGGCATCTTATATGCTTTCCCCAGCAAATTCCTGGTGCCACTCTTTGCTTTGGAACTGAGATCCCTAAGAGATATGTGGTTCCAGGATGCCTCTGCAGCCCTTATCACACCTGAGGGTCCTGTGAATGCATTGAAGCACTTAAAGTGTCAGAGTTGTGCTGTGTTTATATAGTGCTTATGTTTCCTGATGTGCCCAGACGGTTGTGTCAGTTTTTCCTCACCACACTGTTGTGAGGAAGAGGGAACAGGATTATTTGTCCAGTTTGTAATGGAGGGGAAGCTACAGAAACTCAGAGCAGGGAGGACCTGCATAAGCGTGGAGTGTCAGACAGTGATGACTGCCCTGTGCAGTGTTGGCTTCTGTAGCAGCTGACCTGCAAGGCCTTCTAGGTTCAGTGCAAACCACGAGGAAGGGTAACTCCATGCCCTGTCAGATAACCTTTCTTGTAAGACATTTCCTCTTTAGAGTGAGCCAGAACTCTTCTCTATCATTTCTACTGCAAGTACTAGTCCTGCCCCTCTCTAAAACAGCTCTTTTTAAATAACCATTGGCCTTCCCATGGGGGGCACAAGAGCAGCACAGTGCCAGAGCATAGAATGGGTTGGGTGTAGACCCACTCAGCCAAGACCAGTGAGAGACAGTCCAGTGTGTGTTGGAACTGAAGTATATTCTCTCTTCCAAAAAGAATCATAAGTAGCTACCCAGAAGTTACATTTCATAGATATAGTGAGTTACTGTTCAGTGATTATTATGTCAGTCTTTTCTCACTCTCTTTTTTTAACCTAGATGAACTCTGGGTTTTCATGGGGAATGTGGATGCTAGGGGGAAGGATAGGGGGAAAATAGACACAACTTTGATTTAAAACTTTGTTTTGTACTGATGGTTTCAAGCCAAGATCTGTTTTACATTCAGAACATGAATTCATTCCAAACTTTAAAAAGTTTCAGGGTACTTGGGCATGGTGCATTGTAGGGCAGTTTCTAGAACAATTTTTTACTTCCTTTTTTTTAATCTCTCGGTCTTATTTAGGGTGTGATGGAGGTAGAGAGGATACAGTATTATCCCTATTTATCTTTTATCCTGTGATCAGGGCTTCCTATTTCTTCCAGTTTCACATAAGCTAATTCCTGTTTCATCTCCCAGAAGTTAGGCACCTCCATATATCTTTTGCTTTTTTTCCCTATAAATCCTCCTAATGAAACTTCCATCTAGAACTCAGAGCCTCTTGTCCCAGGCCAATTTGTTACTCATCACCCTGACTTCTTGCCTCACAAACCAAATGTTTTCTCTTGACTCAGTCCATCCAGATTCTCTAACCGGGCCCTGTCTTTAGGAATCGTCCTCTTGCAGTTGGGAAATTTCTACTCTTAGATCTTCCTGTGAGCCTTGAAATTTAAACATAGGACTATAGTGACAGGGTGTGACTTACACATAAACACCCCCTTTCCCCACAACTCCCACCATGCGCAGTTGTTCCCAATGAAACTGCTGTAGATGTAGAAGATGATTAGATGTGGGAATCTGACATCTCATGAGCTTATAGGTCGCCCTAACTTTCAGCATAACACTGTGCGCTTTGTTCTGGAGAGTGAAGTTAGCTTCTGTACTGGGTATCTACAAACCAGTGCTTCCCAACATTTTATACTTTTAGGAATCTTTTATTGTTTTCTCTCTTGCTTTGATATGGAGTGTTTGTGTGGGCCTCCCACACCCGCTTCAGAGATGCTTTTAGAAACAAGGTGGCCTTCCAGAGGCACTGGCTGCAGGCTGGCACGTGAACATGGATTTGCACCTCATGCCACTGCTCATAATCAACTAAGCTGGAGACCTTGGACACACTCTTTCTCTCCTTCCAACTTCACTGAAATGCTAGCTTTTCTCTCACTTTACTTCTTTAGGACCTCTTCAGTCTACAACTTCTGACAAGATTTTCCTGCTGCCCCACTATGTGTCTGTCTAACTGGACACACATATATCTCAACAAGGCTGTGTGGTCAAAGGTCCATGAGGGGTGGGAAGAGTGCTAACCTTTGGAGATGGAATGCCCGGATCTAAAATGGGGTCGTGATCCTCACTAGTTCCTGTGACCTTCAGCTCATTGGTATTTACTTGAGGCTCAAACCCCTCCTCTGTAGACTGGGTGATAATTCATACTTACAGGGTTAAAGGAGAGCATGAAGGAGAGGTCCAGCATGTGGAGGCCTACGTGCAGTGTTGCTTCAGCTCCCCACTTCCTTTCAGGGACCTTCAGGGCATACCTTTTTATTTCTCTAGAACCCTGCAAAATTCCTTGTTGCATGTAGAAACAAGTTAGTGAGCAAAGTTAGTCAGTAGCCACATGCCATAGACGTGAGGCCTTCTCTGTGCTCCAGCCCACAGGACAAGAGGAGGTTGGGAGAAGGGCCTGTTTCGTCATGTGGCAGGACTGACTGTCCCAGGACTCACTTTCAGGAAAGTCATCTGTATCAGCAGTCAGTAGTTCTTATCTACCCACCCTCATTTCTTAGGGTGATACAGACATCAAGGTTATTCCAGGGCATGTCACTATGCCTTGTCACAGGGCTGACAAAAACCTACTGCTGAGTCCTTTTCTTCTTCTGTTTGATGGGTGTACCCTCTGTAAAAGTCTGTACCTTTGACAGTTCTTATTTCCCACCTCAAAGGAAAAAAACAAAACGAAAGATTAAGAAAGAAAAGAAGCAACAGGTACCCCTCCCGTGCCTTCTGCAGCAGGTGTTTCCTCCCTGATTTCCTTTTTAGCACCCTGGTTTCCTGTTTTCACATCCCCACACCTAGTGCCCTTCTGTTTCCCTGACTCCTTCCCAGAAGCTAGGAGTGGGGGTTGCAAGGAGCTGGCCGTGGGTTCCAGGCCCTATCCACAACTCTGCCAGGCTCTGGGACCTGGCTGGGGCTGGGCAGACACAAGGAGGAGTCTGGACTGGAGGTGTGGACCGGATATCCGTGCAGTTGCAACTGGGTTCAAGGAAGGACCTTGGTAACAGATGCCTCCTCAGCACTTCTCCAAGTTGGGGAGCTGGGAAAAGTTGACTTGTTCTGACTAAGCCTGATGGCAGAGGCGGGCCCGGGAAAGGGCGGGCGGGGGCCTCTATTCACCGCAATGACTGGCCCAGGGCAAGTAGGGGCCCCGCCCCTCGGCCCGCCCCGCCCTCCCAGGGGAAGGGCCACGTTGGCCGCGGGCGGTCGGGTCGGGAAGGGCGGGCGCTGGTGACCGCGAGAGCGCCTGGAACGCGCTGGGCTCGGGGCTCGCTCCCCGCTCCCCCGACTCGCCAAGTTCTGGGCTGGGAAGTTGTGAGGACCCGGTGAGTGCCCCAGGGACCCTGGCGTCCGTCAGTTTCGGGGCTTGCCCTCCTGGGTAAAGAGGGCGCCCCAGAAGCTTGGGTCCTGGCTTGGGAAGCAGCTCGCGAGCCCCCTGCAACAGCAGTGTCGGTGAGCCCAGGCCCGGGACTAGTCCCCTGCCTCTTGGATCCTGGCCGCGCGCCTCCTCCCAAGCCGGGAAGTGGGAACTGTGTGTTCAGCTTTCGGAATTTCTGGCCTCCAGCTGTTCGAGGGAGGGTAGGCCGGGCGCTGTGGGGAGGCCCTTGTGAAACTTGTCCGCGGGGCGAATGTGGATGCTGGGCCTGGAGGAGGTGGGTCGCAGGAGAGGGGGAGCAAAGTGGTCAGGGGACATTTCTCCTAACCCCTGCTGTAGGGTGCTTTTCACAAGTTACGAGTTATTTCTCTTTGCCGGAAGGAAGAATTGACTCGATGTGGAAATAGATAAATCGGCAAGAAACTTTCCCCTGCGTGTTGCTAACCTGTCCGGGGGGTCCCGGCACCTGAAATCTACAGGGTCCCTGATCTTACCAACTCTGGAGCAAAGTGATTAAGTCACCTGTTGTGTGTCTTCACAGAATAGTGAGCCAAGGGTAGGACTCCACCTTTGTCAACTGTTGCCTCCATGGCAGGTTTAACTAATCTTTAGAACATCACTCAGATGTCCTACTTACTTCTTGTCCTTAATATTTGTCGAACATGTCATCTTTTCTGTTAGTCGCTCAGATCATTCAGGGTCTGCATCATCATAAATCACTGTTGTCTGACCACCCCATTGAATGCCCCTGGATCCCCTTATCTGTTTTCTCTCACAGTGGGTGTGTTAGTAGATGAAACTCCTTTTCTCTTTGGACATTGGGGAAATTGTCACTGTCATCATTATCAGAGAGTAGGTACCGTTAGGTAATAAACTCCATGTTCAAGTGAGGGAAGTAAGACATGAGTGGGTCAAGTGACTGGATTACCTGAGACAAAGACGCAGACCTTCATGCTTTTTGCTGCACAAGCCTCATACTTCCCCTTCACCTTTTTCAGGATGAATATCCTCCATCCCATCTTTCCTTTGGTGTTATTCCTTAAGAGTTTGAATTTTTTAGTGTGTCTTCTCTCATTTCTTCTGAAGTGGTGCCTGGTACAGGATGACAGGAGTCTAGCTGAGGCCTGATAATGAAAAAGAAAGTAGTTCAGTTAGGTCTCCATATCTAAGCTACACTCTGTATTACTGGAATTTTTAGGCAGTGCTTTTTAACATACTAAGCAAGACAGAAGTGTTTGTCAACACTCCTTCAACTCCCATACTTTTATGAAGTTAAATAAGACTTTTCTGTTAGTGCTTACTATGGAAAGCTGACTATCTGCTGTCCTCTTGTTCTTTTGCCGGAGAAAAAGGACTGGCTGGAAAATACCATGAAATCAGAGTGTTAGAAAGTAATTTCATGAATAATTTTTTAGTGGAGTCCAACAAGCTCTCAGCTT